TATTCCTCCTCCTCCTCCTTTTCATCCTTCTCCTCCTGCTCCTCCTCCTCCTCCTTCTTTTTTTGGTACCAGGGATTCAATGCAGGATCCTGTGCTTGCCAGGCAAGTGCTTATTCTACTGAGCTATCTCCACGGGCCCAGAATGTATCTTCTGTTAGCCATTTTAATTTCATTTTCTAAAAAAGGAAGATGGTGATATTACAGATTACAATGGGTTAAGTGAGGTAATCCACCAAGTGCCCAGTGTGTAGTTGCTGTCCCATAAGTCTTGAGTCACCCCTTTGTCATGTCTAGGGCATCCTGTCACTCTATGTGGCACAGCTTTATTTTCAGGAGAACAATACTACTAGTTTTTTCCCTCACAGTCCTACAACAACAGGTCCCATATCTCTGTCCGCTCACGACCTTCCTGTCTTATGTGTGTCACCACGGCACCATTACTTTTATTTTATTGACTTAATTTTGTGAAGAACCCCAGATCAGACTGAGGACCACGCAATGCTCCACACTAGCACGATTGTGACTCACATAGCGCTCACCCTCAGAAGTGCTCCGTGTAAGTGAACCAGGGGATCAGCCCACTAGAGCTTTCTCAGGGCCTTCTTCAGGGCGTCTCTCAGTTCCTTGTTCCTCACGCTGTAGATGAAGGGGTTTAAGATGGGGGTGATAAAAGTGTAGACCACAGACACAATGCGGCCCATCTCAGGGGAGTAGCTGGAGTTGGGGGACAAGTAGATGAAGCTGGTACAGCCGTACTGCATGAGGACCACGAGGGCGTGAGAGGAGCAGGTGGAGCCGGCGCGGCGGCGCCCCTCGGCTGAGCGGATCTGTGACACGGCCACCACGATGAAGCCATAGGAGATGGAGATCAGCACAAGGGGGATGCTCAGAACGATGAAGCTGACGATGTACAGCACCGTCTGGTGCACATGCGTGTCTGCACAGGCCAGGCGCATGACAGCAGGCATGTCACAGTAGAAGTGGTAGATCTCATTGCTGCGGCAGAAGGGGAGTTGGAAGATTGAAATGGTGAGAGGCAGCGACAGCAGGAAGCCTAGCACCAGGCTACCTGCCACCAGCTCCACACACAGGCGCCAGCGCATCAGCAGGGCGTATCTCAGCGGCTGGCAGATGGCCACTAGCCGGTCATAAGCCATGACTGCCAGAAGGACGCAGTCGGCCACTCCCAAGAAGACAAAGAAAAACATTTGGGTTCCACAACCCGCAAGGGAAACAGGAGATTTTCCCATTGAGAGAAGGTTGGCCAAGGCCAGGGGCGCGATGGAAGATGTATAGAAGATTTCCAGAACCGCCAAGTTGGCTAGGAAGAAGTACATGGGAACGTGGAGGCAAGGGTTGGTCCGGACAACGGCAGCGATGGTGGTGTTTCCACTGAGCGCGGTGAGGTACATCACCAGGAAGGCCACGAAGATCACCATCTGGACCTCTGGGTCGGATGAGAAGGGGCGAAAGAAGAATTGTATCTTTGCGGTCCTATTCACCTCTTCCATGTGCCTCACTGGACCTGCTGGGAAGAAAAAGAGGATTCTCAAGGCCCCGTCTAACAGGAGGCTTCCCCAGCTCTTCTGTTCAGTGTTAGTGCTGTTCCTGGAGCCCTGCAGCAATCACATAGGTAACTTCCTTTATATGTTGCATAACATGGCTTGGATTTGCCACCCACTCATCTTTCCTGTCCTTCCCCCAAGTACCAAAGATTTAAAAGTGCTCAGTGGTAGGTACTTCAATGGTTCTTGATTTAACCCTGATATTCAGCAGTGCTTGAAACAGTAGAGTTTCAAGAAATATTTGCTGAAGAGATTAATGAACAATCAGCCTAAAGTTTGACACTATAAAATGGAGAAGACAGGGAGTTCATCAGGTGGAACTCAGTTCAGGACCTTAGAATTTTGCGGGCAGCTGCAGTAGAGGGTGCTATTCAAACCAGAGACTTCGCTGACAAAATCTACTTCTTCCTCTCCTTTATCCAGATTAATGCTAAACATGGATAGTTCATCCTTTAAATCTTTCATGTGGTTAGAAAAAAAAGTTTTGTGTGGTTGTTGTTTTGGCTTTTCTCAGGGATCCAATCACAATTTTTTTTTTAATTTGGTACAGGTTCTCATTATGCAGCTTGGATTCTGAATGATCCTCCTGTTTCAGCCTCCCCAGCGCTAGGATTGCAGGCGCGGGTCCTCATGCAGGGTCTCTGAGCATGCTAGTTCACCTGTGGGTGGGGCCTGCACGGCGTGTGATGCCGGGGATCAAGCTCTGGTCTCTGTGTTTGCCTAAGCATGTGCTTAGTCTGCTGAGCCATCTAGCTGACCCTGATTCAATCTCTTCTATCTGCTGTTATCTTATTATTTCAAGAATGCAGTCTGGGCTGACCTTGTGCTCACTTTTGTACCCTCAGGCTGGACTCAAACTGGCAGTGACCCTCTGTCTCAACCTCCCGCATGCTGGGATTACAGCGGCGCACCACTCCGGGGTTTCTGTGTTATTTTATGAGCAGACTTTGGTGGCTGTCAGCCTGCTTGCATCCCGTTTCCCCTCTGCCCTGTCCACGTCCCACCCTGCTCTTTGTTGTCACATTACTCCTCTGCTCAGAAACTTCCAGTGACTTTCTCCTGACTCAATTTCCACCTTCACAGAGCTGTCAGTTATCCCAGGCTTCCTCAGGCCTGCTTCTCAAGTTTAATTCCACCTTGGCGCATGGCTGGCGTGCTGCCCAACGTGGTCCACCCGCTGGCCTGTCCCCCAGGTCTCAACCCTGCTTCAGATGTCAGGTAGGCAGAAGGCGAGAGTCAGGGGCCACCACAGCTGCCTGCTGAGCCTGTGTTCAGCCTCAGTGCGGAGCATGGGCCTCCATTGGTCGTGCTGCGCTCCAATAGCTTCGTTATGGGGTTACTTACCTACAGTTCAGCCCTACCGTGAGCTCCACGTCATCTACTAGAAGAAGAACGCCTGGGATCGGAGACCAAAAGTCCTAGGTTACGGCGTTTGCAGACTTAGAGACAAAATCGCAGTCCTGAATGGTACTCACAGATGCTTCTCTCTGAACTATAACAGCAACCATCACAAAGATCCTGCGCTTCACTGTCGTCTGAGGAAGAGGGGGAAATGTCCGTCTAAATGCTGCAAGGCTTTGCGTAGAGATCGAGGGACGCTGGTTTTACCTTTCTTCCATGAGCAAGAGCAAGGCGAGGAGAAGGCGGACTGCTCTGTGCCTGAGTCCTGGGAGATGTCCCAGGGCTGTGCACACGAGCCAGGGCTCTAAGCTCCCAGTGGTCGAGTCTAGTCTCTGTGCCAGCACAGCCCCTTGGGATTGAAGGGACTCAGTGTAAAGAGAGTGCGGGAGGCGGAGTCTCAGGGCGCCTTGAGCTCACGTCCTTCTCAGCCTCTTTGGGCTCAGGAAGGCTTCTCTGATTACTGGACGCAAGTCCTCGACTCCACACGACTGTTCTCAGTAGAGTGAGCGGCCTTCGTCGGATCTGAGGCCTGGCTAAGGGGAGAAATCAACGGTGGTTACGCGGTATGTTGTGAAGTCAGCGCTGCTGAAGAAATTCCCACGCTGCAGCGCCCCCATCGGGGAGCCTTTGTAACCGCAGCAGTGCCCTGGTTACTGCGAGGAAGGGAGCCGCCTCCAGAGGGCGGCACAGGAGAGACAGAAACAGGATTTGTCCCTCATGGGCACCAAGTAGAAGCAGATGTCAGGCAGCCACGGGCCTGGGGCCTTTGCTTCGCCTCCCC